CCCCTAATTCTGATGTTCGCCAACAGAGAAGGGTTCTAAGCTCCGTGATTTACAGGTACAGCGCTGCAAAAGCAGTTTTTGGGGGCTGGAGAGGGTTCAGAGGTGGAAAACGTGCATGGGAAAAAAGAAACAAAAGAAAAACAAAAACACAGAAGCGTAGGTAATAGTACCAGGAGACTCGAGGCTAGATGGCCAAGTGGATTCGTCGCAACGAACGGCACATCTGTGACCCACTGCGGGAGAAGTAGTGCCATGATGTGTATGCGAGATTGCCGTTCGAGACTGACGTATGAGATTACCGAAATGGCTGATTGGCGTCGACTATACCAGACGCCACTCATGTACATACACAAGATTGCCGGGTTCCAACAGTAAGCTATGACTAAAGGAAAGAATTCAAGTATCCAAGAAAACCTGCACAACTGACGCCACATCGTGTACCTGCACGCCAGACGGTAAACATTATACTAGTGGCCAACCAGCAATTGCCCAATGTGGATATAGAACCCCCCCTACCCCGAAAATACATACACGCAACCCGTCAAAGGAAAATCTAGAACTGCACTATGTCAGAGACAATATCCCTGTGATGCTCCAGTCCACTAACCGTGTAGGACCCATTTACAACCATGGGCTCAGCTCTCCCCACAATTGTGGTGTCAGTGTCCATGCGAACGTGGATGGTCATGCCCATGTGCTCTCTACCGTTCAGATACGAGGCCGCATACTGTGCTTCCTCCTTGGACCCGAACCTGGCAGTTGCCAATCCCTTGAACACTCCCGTCCTTGGGTCTCGTAGGAGCTGAGAATCGACTGGGATACCCACAGTATACAGCAGCTTGTTGAGGTCATCCGACGTCGCCTTGTAACTCAGATTGCGAATGAAGATGCCACGGGCTTCTGTCAATACAGCTCCGCCGCGGACATTGACTGGCATTCCATTGGTGCTTGTTGAGTAGACAGGGGCCTGTGGCGCCTGGACTGCATAAGGCGATATAGATGGGTAGGCTTGGGTGGTCGGGTACATCGCGTATGGATGATAGGTTGGGGGTGGCATATAGGCCGTTGTGGACATTGCCCGTGTCTTCCCACCAAGCTGGTTCACCCTCCCAATGTCGATCCCGCATCGCCCGACCGAGTGATCACCTTCAGGGACTTCCGGGAAGTGCGCAGAACAGTTGCATCTCATCAACCGATACCCGTCCGTGCTGCGGCAAGTCTCCCACACGTGTACTAGCATGCCTTTTGACCTATAGAAGACCTCTAATGGTGGAATGCTGTCAGGTTCATCCGTTGTGCATGAAGATGCAGATTGACTTACTATACGCTGCATCTGCGTCCTCTTGGTCTCGTAATCGACACCATCCTTGCATTTCTCCCCTTCGCTGACTAGGATTCGAGAACACATTCGCCCATCCTGGTTGCTCCTTGACCACTTTTCGAAGATGGTCTTTGAATTCTTGCCATCCTGCCAAGAAAGGTGCATAACGCGTCGAACCACATACTACTAGCAAAAAGTCCCCATGGGTTTCTTTCCAGGGCCCAGTGTAGGAAGCCATGTTGGAGTATGGAAATCGGGTGGATAGATGATAACGATATTCGCTTTTCGAGGAGAGGATATATAAATCCAAATGTTGAAGGAACACAGTGACGGACTGGAGTCTGTCTACTGGATGCAGAAACCGTTGGGCTATTTCAATCGACGAGAGTGCAGTGAATGACGGTAGAATATAAGATTTCCAGACGATGTCGTACCCATGATGTATTTATACATGATGATCCAAACTTTACCATTATTCTTTTTGCGGGCGTGTATAGTCGAGTGGGATGCGCCGAGGAAGGAGAGTCCCCCCAAAGGTAGGGCCTACTTCGGCGAGCATGCTGATTCGTACAATGAGTCTGAGGTCGAGGTCTAAGCTTACTCGCTACCCATTGTGAGGTCGCCTCAGGAGCCGTCCCGTCATCCCCGATGCGTCCCCAAGTCTAGATTGGGGACGTGTAGAGTACGTCCCGCAAAGGTGTATACAATATGAGGGTGGTGGCCGATGTGCTGGCCAATCCAAGGTGGCATGCATATATGTCTAGCTAGACATGCCAATATCTTGCAGTGAAGCAGATAGCGTGCATTGCTGGTCGTCACTGTTACACTAGATCTCAGGGTACGATGGTGGATCCGGCTATGGGAGCAGGAGCCATTGTGGATCCACCAGGCGTCGTGGGTCCGCCATGTCAAAGCAAAAGCTCCCTAATGGGTAACAAATCCAACACACCTTTGTTAACCCTTCGGTATGATACAAACTACCAAAAAGAAACACTAGATACGGGGCTCTTGAGCTCCCATGAATTTTCCAACCCTTTGCTACTTTCTGAACATCAAGCGAGAGTCTAGTCTTTGGGTCGTGGCGGCATCAGTGACCTCACAAAGTGATCACCGTCAGGCTGAAACCCGCCAGAGGATCAGCTTTTGGTCAAAACCGCCACTGACGAGGTACTCGCTGCTCTCAGCGTCCACGTTATCTGTCGTGATGTGCCCTGCCCATAGACAGCGGATCTTTGACCCAGGTTCGTGAGCCTTCAAAGAAGCAACAAGTTTTCCACTTTTAGCTTCTATGCCTCTGATGACGCCATCATCTGAGCTTACGTAGACACCAGATGCGTCGGGACGCCACACAATCCGAGGCGTGGAGTCTAGATTCAATCTCCATGTCAGTCCACGTCGGAACCTCGCATTTCAAACAGTTCCACTTACATGGTGTCTGAGGAGCTAACGTGTTCGTGTTCACCAAGATAGCGCGCTCCTCACGATTAGCGATGGCTAACTCTGCGCGTGCTTGCGAGGCCTGTGTGCTGGGCTCAAGGACATCATCCGATATGAGACCAACATGTCCTGATGAAGGTCGTTGAGACGAGAGCGGAAGTAGAAGCTTCACCACAAGTAGCCTCATGTGTGGAGTAGAACTTGTAGCAACCGCTACCAAGTGTGGATCTTTAGGGCAGACCTGAACGTCTGCGGGTGTGAATGCAACCCACGCATTGGAGTGTGGCGCCAAATTTTGCTGTCCCAGCAGTGTCACGCCCGACTCATCTGAAGCGTCTACCGAATAGTAGTGCAGAAATGTCGAATCCCTCCTGGCGACCAACAAGATCAGGTGGTCGCTATCCAGCGCTTCGATGAACACAATTGTCTCTGGAATGCTCGGAAGAACCAGACTTGTGAGAAGTGTAAGTCGTGGATTATCAACAGTGATATCAATATTGTAGAAGAAAACCTTGGAATCCCAGCCCGCACTAGCTACCATCACAGAGCTCCCATTCGAATGAACGGCTAATTTCACCAGGTATTTTGTATGATCATGACGTTGATCTACAATTGACCCACGTGAGAGATCAAACAGGGTCAGTTTGCCTGACATGGAAGCCACCAACAAGTATCGTGAGCCAATGGAAACAACATCCAGAGTCGGTGAATCTTGGAGGCTAGAGTAAGAATGTACCAGGTCGAAGTTTGGCGTGCTTGGGTCTACGAGATGGAGTTGCCTGTCTGCCGTAGTTACTGCAATATATGGTCGAACCTCTGTTGCTGATAGCGACAGATGCAGTACATTTACGCTGAGTATGTTGGAACGGTTGGGTAGAGTGCTGATGGTGTTCGGCGTTACCGGCGCCCTCTCGGTCCACTCTCGGTCTGCATCGTTCGTACCCAGCTTCTCAAAATTGAGGCTGAGATCAAAGGTCTTCTTCTCTTGCAAAATCGTCTCAATAGTGACTTTCTCATCAGCAGTGATACCGACATCCGAAGGTAAGCCTGCCTCTTTTACAAAGCTCGTCAGAGTCTGGCCGTTGTTAGTCCCCGCATCCATCATCAGATGATGCAACATAGTACTTCGGTGAAGCCATTAGTTCTCAGGTAGTGCGCAATCAACTCAGCTGCAGACGGTAGCATTACTGATAACACCACGCTTCCAAAAAACTGTGGTGATGGAGTGATGGAGTCGCAAGCGATGGCACAGCGAATCGCCCGTACAGACTACATGACATCGGCTGTCATAGTTGAGCCGCGCTAGTTGATTTACGGTAACCTAACTTTCCTAGTCCACCCTTATCGATACCATGTCTTTGGCAAAAAGTTCGCTTTGCAAGTGTCTCAAGGGCCCCGCAGACAGTACCGGTAAAACTACTCAATCAATACCTCAGGATGCAGGTAGGCATATGGAGCCAATTAGGAGGTGTAGTGCTGACCTGGCATGAACAGAAAAACCCTGTTCTACGTGAGGAGCGCACTCATAGACTTATTACGTTGCAAAAGAAGACATCTGCAACACCTTACAGTATTACACACCGGCTAAAGCTCGCCCAAGCATATAAAGAGCTTGGCTATCCGGATCTTGCTGTTGGTGATGCGTACAAAGCACTTCTGTTGATTGATGAGGTCGTTGGGGAAGGCGAGTATCATGAGGAAGCCTCAGATGCCGCCGCCCTCGACTATACCTCGCAACAATTGGGCCACATAAATATCGAAGATGAAAGCGACAGTACACCTGCTCCACTTGACTCCATTTTAAACTGGGTTCAGGTGTCCTGTCTAAGAGACACGTATGTAAGGACATTCAATGTGGCGTCTGTCAGGCTCACTCTTCTAGCTACATTCTTTTGATTAAGAGCCTGCAAATTTGTGGTTGCTTACGGAGTGCCTTCGATTACATTTCACGCGCAAAAAAAGCCTTTCCTGAAGACAAACTGTTTGAGGATTTTCACAAGTCCTTGATGGACCGTGTGCGCATTGCCCTAGGGGTTCAAGAAGATACTTTATCCTCTATTGACATCGACGACTTTCCGGAAAAAGGTTTCGTTCGTCGAGAACAATATCCATGGAACCACCATGAACCGGACCGATTCTCTGAGGCTTGCCTGCAGTCTCTAAATGAACAATTGGAAGATATCGCACCAAAGTTGGAGGTCCGAATCTCTGAGTTACCAGTGTTGACTCACAGCAGCAACGCACTAAACGCATCAAAGTCTCAGGCGCAATTTACCAAACAGTTAGGTCTGTTTGCAAAGGAAGATATACCACCTGGAGAACAGATCCTCGAGGAAAAGTCTCTATTGACTGCTGTTCTGAGATTCCATGAATCTTACTGCGATGCATGCAGCATTTTGCTACCCAATCCCCACGGCGAAGCTACTGCGAGTGAAACAAGCAATATGACCGTCGGTTGTGATGAGTGCGATGAGGTGTATTTCTGCAGCAACGATTGCCACGATCTAGCCCAAGAAAGCTACCATCCCTCAATATGTGGTGTGACGGTGGACCAGGGCACAATACCGGCAAGTGAAGCTGCCGATCATCTTTATACCCTTCTCCTTGTACGTGCATTAGCACTGGCGGAAACCCAAGAGTTACATCCTTTGGAGCTCAAGGAACTGCGCTACATCTGGGGAGATTACCATGGGTGTGATCTTGACTCTACCTGGCAAGTAGACGCTACAGAAATGCCCGTCAAAGCATTCGGCACAGTGCCTTGTACGCTCCCATTTTCATTCAAGAGCAATGTCCTCATGCCACTCCATGTGCTAGAGAAGATGGATATCAATATCTTCACCGAAACTGAAAGATACGACACGTGGATATTCAACACCCTTTACGCAAAATTCCGAGGGACCGCATCTGCTCGACAGGGCCTGGATGGAAAGCCCGACACCAGTGCAGTACATCCAATGTGGTGTCTAGCAAATCATAGCTGTGACCCCAACGTTGCTTGGGATTGGCAAGGCACTATGCGTTTCTGGACCCGCGATCAGCGCATAGAGTGGGCAGGTAGAGACTCCAAACAGGAACCTGGGCTTAGGCAAGGCGAGGAGGTTTTTGGCCACTACTGCGACATTACGTTGCCTGTCAAAGAGAGACGGGAATGGGCTGCTGGGGCACTTGGGGGAGACTGCATGTGCCCGAGGTGCATTTGGGAGGAGATGGAAGAAGCAAAATGCCATGCTGCGGAGACAGGAAGGTGATGGATCGCATGTACATTTGAATATAATTCATACATCCAACGCTCGCTTATGCGCCGTTGGTCCAACCCACACTTCTTCTAGGTTTCTTGTAGGCCTATCCCTACAAACTCGAGCTCAGAAGGGGGGAGTGGACTAGAAACATGCGACATGGGACCGTACCCTGTACCCCTGGTAATCGTTAATGAATCATCATGATATCTCATAATATAGCAATGCTTCGGCGCATCTCACATTCATCTATCTCTGGGGCCCTGTACGCTCACCATCCAGGGTCATCCTCGGATATTAACGAGTCTGCGCCGGTGCTGTTGTTTTGCTCCATCTATCACGGAGTCCTAATGATACCTTTCCCAACGAGCCGCCGTCCACTTCTTCATCCCCGAGTGATCTCCACGGAAATCCTTGATGAACCCAAAAGATTATCTCACCCTTCAATCAGGACAATGGGCAATATCGGACCATTTATACGAATCGATGCTGCACTGCAATCTTGTTGCGTTCAGCCGCCGTACGTGGCGCATTGCAATCACAAGCCAAGCTTAGAGTTTTTTGAGGTTCAGATCGAACACATGTCGAAGGATTCCGATAGATCTAAGACGTGTTAAACCATGAGGCATAACACAGTAGTGATGCAGGAGAACTAGCGGGAGAAATCTAATCAGATATAAAGCGAGGAGAATTGGAGCAAAGATGGACTACTCCAAAGTAGTACTATTTCTAAGCAACATCTCGAAATTCCCTGGCACTCCCAAATAGGAAAGAAACTAACGTATCGTATTCGCCCTCTGGCTATTTTACACAGGAAAATCGAAATACCCACAATCAGATTAATTCCATGTACAGGCATTCCACGTGCTGGCAATAAGTCCCATGAGCCAGGATGAAAGTCACTAGATCCCGGCGCCAGATTTCGGTCGTTCTCGATTATTCCACCTTTTTGCCTTAGCTCGGATTTTAGACCCCAGTATGCAATTGATCGGTGTGCACTATGTAGTTGTATCCGGATTCAAGCATTTCCATACGCCACACTATCGCTAATCTCACAACTCCACAACTTTTAATCGCCTTGACCTGGTAGCACTCGTCATCTACGAAAAGTCTTGTCCGGAGAAATCCGATGCATCCTAGCTTCATCGTTCGATGAAAGCACCGTAACTTACGAAATGCGCACGTCGAGTTGCATGCCTGCTAGTTCCCACATTGTATCGAGGAACTACCGAGACATTGGTGTTGGAAGGACGGCGGTGGTGGCTGTACTGTGGCCAGCATATGGTCCGGCCAAATCCACTGTAATACGTGAACTAGCTGGCATAATACGTGCCCGTCCTCTGAAGTAGCTAGCGACCAGACTACCCATGGCCAGCGCTGACAGCTTGCGGAGTGAATGCCGGACTCCGATACATCAGGCTGGCTTGGCTCACATACTTCACGAATTTGTATTCGTCCTGCAGTGGAGCATGTCGAACGGTAAGGAGCCGCATTACATGCGTATCATAAGTCTTAGAACAAGATCGCAATAGCTCCGTGCGTTGGAGATGCGCTGTCGTGCATTTGCTCGATACTAGGTTCTTGCACACAAAAGTGAAACTAATGGGCCTATGTTCTCGACATCCACAGTAGGATGTCTTTCGTTCAAGATAAGCGGTGTAGTTCAAGGCGTGCGTGTCGAATCGCTTGTCCAGTCATTTTTCTACAAGCTCAATAGGCTTCCTGATAGCAGGTATTGCTTCTTCATAGATCTCTTCTACGCGAATCGAAGGGAAGGTATGCCGCAATTGGGCAGCAATGTATCGGATCCCCCAATCCTCAGCTTGCCGGTGACCCACACAAGCAACCGACATGCTAAGCGCTCTTGCTGCCTCTAAACCAGTTATACGTGGTTGGCCTGTTATGTAAAGGATATGCCTACCGTCGTCTTCTGTCGCTATCCAACCGCGTCCGCGAGCTTCATTTAGTATGCGATGTACTTCTTCCTCGTTGAAGGCGTTCATGATGGCGACCACATGCGTCTCATCCGATACTCCTTCGAGCACAAGCTCTACGCCGCCGAATTCTTTCTGTGTCTGATGGAGGAGCTGTGCACGAGGTAATGAGACCTCGCCTAAAATCCCTATCTTCCTCTCCATATCGCCTTTATAGCCTTGTATGCATGATGCCCCTGGCACATTCAGTCCCAGCCTCTCCGCCAAAACCGGGTTCCAACCGACTGTCAGGACCTCATCAAAAGATGTATGACTAGAAAGAACAAGCGTACCGCCGCGAACATTTCGATGGTCCAGTTCGAAAGGACGATGCAGGAAGCATACTGTGCGTGGAGGACGGTGATGTATCTGCGAATTCGGTCGCACTGAAGCGGCAGCAGATTTTCCGATCTGATTTCCTATCAAAGAATACACCCCAGGCGTGGGTGTGACACTCAGAACTATCTGCTCAACAATTGCCGTGTCTGGGTCGTATCGCGGGTTTTTGGGTACGTGGTATATACGCCTTACATCGTTCTCTTTCAGGGGCAGGAGAGAAATGATGTAGTCATTGATAACTGCATGTGTCATTTTTATTTGGCGCTGCATCTTTATTAATGAGTTCAGTGGCTTTATGATAAGGAAGTACCATGACTCTATGAAGATCCTGACACCATAGTGGAAGGTAGGTACGTCATCGATATTCTTTTGACGGTTTGTTGATGGAGCTTAGCAATTTCGGGTGCCGATTATGAGCTGATATACTTTTTTTTCCATTCTTCGAATAATGTTTTTAACCTTGTCATAGTCGCTATGGCTGGTGTTGTTGCTCAGAAAGAGAGTTTTGTTCTTCAAAGAGAGGACCAGGCGGGAACTTGAGCTAGTCCTAATGGCGTCTAGTCGAAAACACAGGTTGAGATCTGAGTCCGATTGCGATGATTCCTTCACCATCTATTGGATTGGGTAGGATCAACGCTCACTCCAGACTTGATCATAAGGCATGCCTGCCGTTGATGCTTCCTTTCAGGCCGCTGGTCAGATTTCACTTTTCCAAAGATCTCTACGGTCTTCGACCATCAGGTTTGGCCTATTTGAATAGTAGCACTCTCAAAACCAAGCCGCCACAATTTACAGGTCGCACTTTCTGCCTCACAACAATGAGCGTCACCACCACGGCGCCTACCCCGGCAATTGTTGGTGCTCTTATGTGCCAGAAAGACTCGTATTTGCGATCATTGGAGACTACGGTGGTATCCTGCGAGGAACACGTACCTGCTGCCACGAACCAGGGCGATGGCAAAACAAAAACAAAGAAATCCACGGATCCAACCAAAGGCCTGACGGTGGGCGCCTCGAACGCTCCGAAAGTCTGGCACATCGAATTCGCAGACTCTGTTCTCTTCCCAGAGGGCGGTGGACAGCACACCGATCATGGAACGATCACACCTCTGAACGATGACTCAGATAAAGAAGTGTCAATAACAAATATACAGCGTCACGGTTTGCGGTGTGTACATTTCTCACCAAGGCCTTTGAAACCGGGCACCACTGTGCGTCAGACTGTGGATTTCGGGAGAAGATGGGATCTGATGCAACAACATACTGGCCAACACCTGCTCTCCGCAATTATGGACGGGATGAACCTTGAAACTCTGGGTTGGAGTATGGGCCAGCCTGGGGAGATGAACTATGTGGAGTTGCCGCGAAAACCTACCGACGAGGAGATCAGAATCATCCAAAGAACCTGTAATAAGATTGTACGAGAGAACGTTTCCATTACCGTGGAAACTCCAGAAGGGAGGGGGTCATCTAGTCTCCCAGAAGACTATGACAGCGACAAAGGTGTTGTCAGATTCGTCAAAATTGGAGACCTTGACTACAACGCGTGCTGTGGTACGCATCTTCGCACAACATCACACATAGGCTTGATTCTTCTCCATCATATGCAAACGGTGCGAGGCACTAATTGTCGCCTCTTCTTCTCCGCTGGAGATCGAGCCATCGAACTTGCCACCGAGTCAATCAATGGCCTCAGGTCGATTGCTCTATCCTTATCCACAAGTGCTGCACCGAACGATGTCGCAATTGGCGTAAAGCGGCTAGGCGATTCACTTTCAGAATCGCGGAAGAAAGAGAAAAAGATGTTAGCTGAGATTAGCAAATTCGAAAGCGCCCGTATCACGACACATTTCCAAAAACATCAAAGTGCATTCTTGCATCGAGCTACAGATGGTTTAGACTTCATCAACTTGGTCGTCATGGAAATCAAAGATGTTGCTAGCGAGCGCGGGGTTGCAGTACTGTGTTCAGGAGAAGCGAAGTCCTCTGGCTCGATTGTTATACTCGGCCAGCCAGAACTAGTACAGAACATGTCGTCAAAGGTCAAAGAGGTTGTGATCACAGCCAAAGGTGGCGGAAAGGGAGCAAAATGGCAAGGTAAGGTTCTGGAGTGGCATAAAGGTGAGATAGAGGCCCTGAGGATCGCGGTGGAGACACTGGGGAGTACATAATGGGCTGATGGAAGAATTGTGTAAATGTAGCGTGTTTGTTCTATGTATGATCTGTTTCTCAACGGGAGAGGAAGCAAGAAGTGAAGCAGGTATAAAGCGATTGTCCATGTGAACATCGTGTGGAAGTGCAGACCGACGACAGAAAGGAGGAGCATCCGCAAGAAGATTGTGAACAAGAAAAAAAAATGCAGATGAAAGTGTGCGCTAGATGTGGAGCTAATCATACACTGTAGACCTTGATCGAGTTCACGAGCCAGTACGAGTCCTGGAAGGACTGAGGCTGCGAGGCGACGTATGCATTGCAGCTTGGGTTCATCTGCGCGCAGGTCGACTGGCCCCAAACACCACCCGCCCAGTCACCGCAGAATGTAATGTCGAATATCTGTGTGAATATTATCAGAACCCGTCTATTAAATCCTTGTGGTTCAATCAACTTACAATGTTCATATCTCTAAACTTGCTGTTGTAGTCACATCCCCCACCAAAGTTTGCAGTAGGCACTCCCCATGAGCTTGGATCGGGGTTACCGTTTCGGATATTGGCCGGCACATCCCGAGTTGCGAAATTCCAGACCTTAAAGCCCGATGATGTCCACAATGCGGCGTATACACCACCGCCATTGGCATTGAAAGCAGTCCCATAGGAAGTAGCCGAGTTAGAGAGAACACCGCACCCGTTGAAGCCACCACCAGCTCCACAATCTGCGTTGCCAACGCGACTGCCGGTTTCCCCTTCGGGTCCGACAGAGGGTGTGCAACCAGGAGATGTGTGCAGTGTGACTTGATTGTAGGTATTGAGATGAACACCTTCGTAGATATCTAGCTCTCCCTGATTAGGCCAGTTTGGACCGAACATCCAGAAAGCAGGCCATGACCCGCAGTTGCTACCAGGAACATGGGCAAAGTCTGCAATAATAAGTGCACGGTTGTATGCTGTCCTGCTCTGTATTCTGACACTTTTTCGTCCGGGACCATTCGGATCTAATTGCGAAGTTGAGTCGACTCCCATGTATACCTGGTTGTTCTGGGTCTTGAGTAGACCTAGTTGCTGCGCCTGTTGCGCATTGACATACTCCACGAAGCCATCTGGTTTTATGTAAGTATATTAATACCATATCAGAATCGACAACTCACGTGTAGGGTCGGGGATCTTGCTAACAGTTAGTGTAGTTCAATAAGTAGAGTACGGACAAGAGTGCTTACAGCCTGGACATCAAACTTGCTGTTCCAGTTGCTTGCATCATAGGTCTCGATTAAGGTGTACGCAGCCGAGGTTTGGACATCAGATACGTGAGAAGTAGTCCCGTTTTCCCAGATACCAGGTCCTGCTGGGAGGGCTGTAACACTTGCCCAAAGAAGTGGAAGAGAGGCAGATAGCGTTTTCAAGGACATGACTGGCTGAGTAGATCGAGGAGTGAATCGTTTTGTCGTACAGGAAATCCATGTGCTCTTTCGCTACTCTTATACATTTTGCCGTTGGCCGCGTCTCCTCATGAGACTTTGGCTAACATGGCTTCAAGGCCGACTACACTCATGATAAGATGAAGCCTTCAACAATGATATCAAATGACCAAACACATGACAGGGTGCTGCATCGCCCATTGGGCTTTAGAATGAAATTGGGGAGAGAAGCCCTCCGCGGCCAAAACACGTCTCTCGCTACAGTAGGTGGAATGGTTTCTCCAAAGCCTACGCCTGTGCGGGATATGAGCCTAGTATGGCAACTCGTAAGGCTTGATAGTATAGCGTGAGCATGGCGCCTGATGGTGGTTGGAAAAACAAGGAGACTTATGTTAAGCGTAGTGCTACCTAGCTCCTCGCGCCCCTTGATCTGTTTCGGAAGTCTTGCTGTAAACGGTGAGTCAAACACTCTAAGTGGCCAGTATGTCTTTTGATTTCATCTAACTACCAATCGTAGCGTGGCCTCTTGTAGAAGGCCCCCGTACGTGATAACTGCTCTAAAGTGAACCCCTATGAATACCGAACGGTAACATTGGCCCGAGCATGTTTCAAGTAGACGCGTCTAGAGCGTGGTCGTCGCAAACCATCAACTGCGACTTCTCGTTTGCGCGACTCTGCTGCTAGGCATGGCTGAATCTGCAGAAAAAGCTCGCAGCATGTTTTGGGTTGAGAATATACAAATCGGGTTGTTACGTTACGTCTGGCGAGAGATGTGGTGTGGACCCCGCGATGGAACAGTGGACATCTGATCTCGTCAGTTGCACAAGGGCAAAGCAATGTCCAGGCCAGGGAATCAATGAGCATGTTTGCCCAAGGTATGCACGCGCATGATTCGCGTGTTCAGGTTCGATCGATCCCCTGCGAGCGTACGGAGTCGAATCAATGATCCTCCCCTGGACGTGTCTTATGCATACCTAGTTAGCGGACGGCGTCGCACAGAATCCGGGGTGCAGGGCAAGTTGCGCAACCGTCACGGGAGGTTTGCTAGTTAGCCTTGCTTACCTGTCTGGCATCGAGTCTCGGCACCCTAGATGTTATGGGAAGGTTGGGTATATCGCCATGTGGCCAACAAAATAAAATCTTGGTGGTGAATGTTCAATGGACCGTCAGAATTGCGATTCTCGAACGGCAGTCTAGGGGCTGAATTCACTAGTCCACTTTGGAACTAAACCTTGTCTATTCACAACTATGCCTCCCTCTGAGCCATCCGCACCATGAGTTACTGTGGATATCTTTTATTAAATCAAATATTTTGAATCCTAATCCAAGGAGACTGTGCTATGGCGATAGTTTGTGATGAGGAAAGCTGCCGGATGTGGCCATCACTGTGTACGAATTGGTCTTCAGGATGATAGGACATAGCGGTTAACAGTTAAGTGAAATCTACTCTCACAAAAAAAAAATTCCGGATTTGGTCTCAAGTTACACAGGGGTGTAATGTGAGCAATACGTAAGTAGCTTAAGTTGTGGCTAAGCAACCCTGAGCTCGCCGTGAGCCAACATAAGTCAGCGTGATAGCGCCTGATTTCCTCCCTAAGTAGTATGAAGAGGGTCTGAAATTAGGCCCTAGCATCAGCAACGTAATTTGGAACACTTTGTTTGCGTATTTAGCTAACCTAATTCACTCTATGCTCTGCAGCGCTATAAGTACTCTAACAAATTGAGATATTAACTTTTTATAGATGTTAATAATAACCAGAGCACGATTCTTGATATTCTTGCTTAGCATTAGCGATGTTTTTCGTATAGTCTAACGAACTACTCTATTAACATGTGCCTCTTCTTGTTCCAGCTTTAACTAAGTATGTTCAGCATTGCCCCTATGGCTATCATTCTGTTTCCTCTTTTGGCCTTAATACGGATTAGTAAACTCAATGACAATTGGACCTTGCGCTTACCTTAATCTTGTGACCCTTGGACCTGTACGTTCTCTAGATCTTCTTTAGTATCACTAATAGATGTCGCGGACTGCTAGAAACAAAGATATACCAAACTCTTAACGCTCTCAATATCAATTGGGGCGTCAAAGTTCGCAGTATGTGAGTTAAGCTTGCTCGTGTTAGCAGTGGGGGATAGTACAACTCTGGCTAAGAGGAAAAACAGCTCCTTCTTGGATGCTTCTTCGCGGTAAGGATAGTTCTTTAGGCATTTAAAATTCAGAAACAGCGTTAGTAATTGGCCAGTTATAGAGGGGACATAGAATTAGCTAGTGCATCAAGTAGATCTTAGACGACTTCCTTTTATTCCAAAACACCCCAACTAAATCATTCCTAACAATGCTATAGCCTTAATAGCTAAATAATAAGCCTCCACATCATGCAACAACTATAGGCAGTGGTAGAGATCCCTAAGCGGGACTTTATACGTCAAACCGCTCCCTACTACGCCGAGTGGCTTTGCTAACAGACTCGCACAGGAATAAGTAGTATCTTAACATTGTCACTTATTATTTGCTAACGTGTCAGGACCTCTTAATTAATTGCGTGTTGTTAAGTATGCTCTAAATCCGAGTAGAAGGCTGTGGGCAGGAGTAATGCTTATCTATTAAAGGAGTAATCCTTATCTATTAAAACAGACTTAGCTACTTTAATATTCTCTTAGCTCTGTCATCTTAGCCTCTTGTTATTAATACTCCACAGCCTACAGCAATATTTATACCCCTTTATAGTCTAACGCCTGTCGTTTTAATACACTACGGTACGAAATTATTTACAGTAGAATAGTGTCCTAGGGGTTTACTATATAGGTGTAAATAACTCTTTTTTAAACCAGTATATATATCTAAAGTAGTGATTTACTTTTATAGTTACGCTTACCATAGTACAAAACCAGTTTACAGTAGCTATATTTATCTAAAGTAGACTATAAAGTAGTTTAGGTAGAAGAAGTAAACCTAAATGGGGTTTATTATACTATATATTCTATAATAGTAAACTACTTTTATTTCTACTTCTATTAATCTACTAGTATTACGTAGTAATACCTAGTTTCCTACTATTTAAGTATTTTACCCCTCCTTTCTTTAATCTTCTTCACCACCTCTACTACCTCTACCACCACCTCTATCACCACCACCTCTATTATCACCACCACCTCTATTATCACCACCTCCTATTAGTAAAAATATCATGACTCATTATTATGTCATATGTGCGTATAGCGTGAAGCTAATCTTTTCTACCCCTTTTAGTCTTAGTTAGGTATTATAGCGTATAATAGAAATAAAACTACTTTTTATACTTAATTTAAACCCCTACTATAAAAGTAAACTACTGCTTTAATAAAAGTAAACCACCACTTTAAACCTATTTACGGGTATACACGAGGTCAGTTTACACCTATATAGTAAACCCCTAGCGTACCATTCTACAGTAAACAATTTTTTACCGTAGTGATCGATATCCATAGGATCGCTATCTTTGCTCGAATATGGATCCTCTGAAGTCGTCGATCGAGAAAGAAAGCTTCCCTCAAGCGAGTCAGTCTTCGGAACAAACTCGCTAGAATGTTCTGGTTCGGGCGATGGTCCACAACCAACAAAGTCGACACCGAAGTAGCTGGACAACTCGTTTTGAGATGAGCTGCAGATTTCCGCTTGGGTGACATCCGCTTTAAGGACGAGCCTTGTTGTTCTATTAATCCCATGGCCATCATATTGACTGTGAAATTGCGAAATTCGAATTTCACATCGTCCTTCTCCTCTTCTTTTGGAACCACCTGCTGTGTACGGTGATTTAGGGTGCGCAGATTTAGAGCTCGTACGCTCTCGTTACCCTCATTCACAACACTCCAGAGGTTAGATATTCGAACGCCGTGATGGTCGTAAAGGTGGAATTTAAATTCCAAAATGGAGTCGAATGACCCATGGTGACATATTTTCCTAACACAAGGATCGCTAAAGTGTTCCATACAATGTTCAGCCCATGTGTGGCGCCACGTTCATTAAAGCATCCGCAGTGAAGCAGGCAATCGAAGGTTGCTTAAGCAGCACTCGCAAAATCCTCCGGCTGCTAAAACTCCATTATACACTAGTGGTTCGATCCATGCGGGGAAATTTTCAGATCGTCGACATGGGATTGACAGTGGTTTTCCCAGTCTCCCTCGCTGTAGACCCAGATGTTGCATATGAAGCAAAACTCGGCAAATCCGTGAATACGGGACTGTGAAGTCTGATGGCATTCTTATATGTGTCTCCAGTCATATGCTCGATTTCCTGAATAAGAACACCTAGAAGGCTCTAAGCCGGGCTAGAATATGACTTCCCTAGGCTGGAGATAGTAGGCAACCAAGTCCAAGATGGTTTGCATGCCTATACCGCTCCTCAACTCGACCTCTTCAAAGAGATTGATCTCTAGATGAAGCCTCTCAGCTAAGAACACAAATCTCACCCGAGAATACATTTCCTGCTCGTAACTAGGCGCGTCGCCGAAGTTTTGCTCGGTTCGTAGCCATTTCAACTCCTCTAGCTTCAGTGATTCGAGCTGCCATTTTAGCTTATCAAGTTTTTTGTTAGACATTTCGCTCCTAATCTGCTCTAGTATATCCTTGTATTCTTGACTTTGTTAAAGCTCGTAGAGCTTTTCTGCGGGCAAAGACTGCAGGAGGTTCAGAATGTAGGGGATGTTCAGTTGCTGGCTGACCTCAAGGACATCTTCCCACGCTTCCAGCCCAAGGAAGTTAGTCGCGCTATTAATTGTTTCTCTGGGCCAGTAGTGCCCACAGAACATCCTAGGCTTCAGGTGACCCCTAAGTCGCATACAAGAAGACTCCGTATGCTTTTTATCTTGTAAATCTCATATTAGCTGCAGGAAAGATTAATTAAAACATTCTAACTTACCAGCTTCTAAAAACCCATATCTTCTAGTGTTGTGGAAGTTTAGGGCATTAGGTACCCCTGCGCGGTAACAATCTGTTTTATGTCTGTAGTAGACTCTACTCGCCTCTACTCGCCTTTTTAACTTTTCTAGAATTATTTGCTGCACATTCAAAGAAGGGGCATGCTATCAAATTTATCCTTCTAATGTATTTAAGTAAACCTTTGCTCCTCCTTAATATTAATACTTAGAAGCTTTTGCAGGAGTTCCTCCCTATCTAAGGACTGGTAATCTTGGAAAGGTATTCTAGCAAGCAACATGCTTAGGCAGAATAGAAAGCAGTTTAGTAAAGAGTGCCTTTAAGGTCTTCCTAGAACGTGCAGTGGCCTCTAAGGTAGCAGTAAGTATTAGAGCGCGTTAGAAGGTAAGCGGAAGTTACCTATCTTGTAGGTTATCGCCCTTCCCCTTTTTATCCTTTGTAAGTCTAATATAAAGCTCTATCTTTCTCTCCTCCTTGTTAAACATGGCAAACATGCAACTATCCTAAAATTCGTCATTAGTAGCTATCCTACAAATGCTATAATAAGTAGTTACCTTGAAATAGTAATCCTCTTAACTCACGTTTAGCATTATCTTCTAAGTCTTCTTCAGGGTCCTCTCCTTCTGTTAGACTTGGCAAACTCGCCAATCCTGCCCGCGCTGTAGAAATTCGTAGTAGTTATATAATGTCAAACAAACCTTATCCTTAGTTTAGCGTGTACAACATGGCTTCGTCTCTATTAATAAATACTTAGAACTCTGTAGTAAACCTCGCCAGAACACTTTGATTCTCTTGCGTAGAGTCGTAAGTGTAGCGCCGTCTTAAGGAATCGCTTATTGTACTAGACAGCATTAATACTAAGAGCATATTAGCGTACTTACTACACATCTTACCTGTATTATATGTTCCTTATTTTTAGGGGAGATTAGGTGCCTGTTGTCAGTACACACCACGCGCAGAAGTTGTTCTAAGCATTCTAGACAGAATCGTAAACCGCAGCGAATTGTTTCTTTTTATCACGACCTTTAGCCTTTCTATTACGCCGTTTAAAGTAGTAGTCATCTCCTTTCTTGCCCTTCATGCTAGTCCTAATAAGGAGCATAAAGTCTTCAAGGTCTTTAGTGCACTCTAATCTCGCATCTGGACGACCTATCTTGAATTTTTAAAGATTAGCTCCGCTGAGGTTATGGCATAACGAGTGACACGGAGCTTACAGTCCCCAGTGATGACCCTGCCTGTTGTTGTTGGCTTTGTACTGCTTGCTAGAGTCGTCTGCCATAGTTTTATTTTTGACCTTCGATGGATCCATAGCTGCAATAGCTGCGCTGCTGCGTGCAAGGATGAGTTGAAAATAGCGGTAAATCTCACAAGCAGAAAAATACAGTTTGATAAGAATTGCACATAGCTATTGGACAAAAGACACCTCATATACTCAATCAGCCGAAGTGTTGTTCCTTTGATACAACGTGTTTCACGTCATTTTACTAAAGTACTTCAAACAGGTTTATGATTGTAAACAAAGGCCGAACGTTTTCTAACTAGTTTGATCATTTGCTTGGTGACTAGACTTCTGATCAATCATAACTCCACTGTCATATGCTACTTCCACAGCCGTTATCATGTTCATATCGTGCGGTAGATGAAGTATCTATCCTGACTCCTCTTTACCCTTTCATGTTAAATTCACAACATCAACGCAATCGATGCAAATATCAAGTTGCAGGTCAAATGCTCCAAGTGCTTTCACAGTTATTCGCCCATATCTCCTTGGAGGTGCGGCTTGCGTTAGAGCATAGCGTCTGCTCCCACTGCGCAAAATGAACATAACGGCGCGTATCATCTTCATCAGATGGACCTATGTGAGTAGAATAGCTCATATCCTTACATTGTATTTCCTCTTCATAGCTTGTTTTAGGTGCTAAGACGTAGAAAAGACCACAGGAAATATGCCCTAGACCTCCTTGTCGTACGTAGAAGCTACGAAAATCTCGCGACTCGTTATTGTTATTCTTTGCTGCTCGACTTAACAAACGCTATACATCGTGCTACCTAGCTTATCAAGGGACGAAGTAACTACCATGGCTATTGTGAGCTTAAAAATAATCAATGGATTAATCACTTGCCTGGTCTCCCAACCTAAGGTAAGACCAAGTGGACAAAGCTGTGCCAATAATGCGTCATGCTTCAGTCACATCTATGGCTCAAACCCAAGACTGCTGCATTTAACAACATCTTCGGTACATTACAATGTTAAAGCATACCGCATACTTTCACTGCGCCAAGCAATCAGCAATGCACGCATCTCACAGCTCGTGCATTCACTATTCTTGCAGCAACACACTAGTGAACAAACAGTCGAGGAGCCCATCCAGTATATGAAATATTCCAATCAGCGAACCTAGTACAGCACAACAGAACAATTCGTTCTTACACACTCAACCAATTGATACACTCCATCCCATTCGATTCACACTCGGCTGCTCATTTGATACACTCCAACGAATCCCCCTACTCAAGAAAACGACAACTTAGAAAGCGAGTTACCTATCCTGAACTTTATATGCGCCATGTTCATGCTTTCTATCTCCATAGACTGGGCACTTTCAAAAGCTGGACTGTTGGTGCTTCTGAGCTTCTTCTGGTCTCTCTTTCTGATCGTCGACGCTAATCGACGTGAGAAGCCAATCTCCCTCCTGGCATCTTTTGGTCTCCTTCTTCACACGATCCCCTCAGTTTTCCTCCTCGGCACTGTCATCATTGCTCAACAGGTCTATGACAGCACATTGGTATGGTTTGTCTCGTTACTTGCATTCCGCTACTGGCGCATCATCGTCAACATCTTCTTCTGGTTTCAGTATAAACCAGCACTGACGTCTGATGATCTGAAGATCTCATCAGAATCCTGTACAGTCGTTGTACCAACGGTTGGTCCCCAGGGTAATTCAGTCTACGATGAGATGATTGCGGCGATTTTGTACAATCGTCCTGCTCGTCTCATTTTCTCCACGAATACCGAGTCTGCCGCTGAGCAAGTTAATGCTTATATGCCCAGCCTTCTGGCCGCTATAGAAGCAGGTAAGTCAGCCTACCAGATGCAGTATAATCTGAAAGCATTCCGCCCAACGACTGAGATCTTGGTTCTGAACGCATCCGTCTCCAACAAGCGCCAGCAAGTTGTGCATGGTTTCCAGAACGTCGAGACTGAAATTTTGGTCATGGTCGATGACACTGCAATCTGGCATCCCAATTTCCTTGCCGCTTCACTTCCTGCATTTGGCGACTCCATGGTAGGCTTTGTAGGCACTCGTAAATGGGTCAAGCGTTTCGGTCGCACTCATCACCCCGAACTAGGCTTGTTCACAAACTTGTGGACCCAGTATAAGGCTGGTTTCTGGAATACTATGGGTGGGTTGTACCTGGTCCGACATAACTTCGAGATCCGGGCAACTAATGCTGCTGATGGTGGTGTCTTCTGTGTGTCTGGACGATCAAGCTTGATACGCACCAGCATTGTCAAGAATGACACATTCACTGAAGCTTTTACCGACGAGTACATTCTTCGGTTAGGTGATCACTTCCCTGGCTGGGGTCCAGTTACAGCTGATGATGACGTCTTCATCACTCGATGGGTCATCAACCAGGGTTGGGATGTCAAGATCCAGTCATCCAAGGAGGCCACAATGACAACTGTCCTCGGTAGGTATCCACTGAAATTTCCAGATCAGTGCAAACGTTGGAGCCGCACTACTTTCCGCCAGAATCCTATCTCCTTAGTGGTAGATCGGACAGCGTGGTGGAAGTGGCCTCTGACAGTCCACACAACCCTCTTCCCCTGGATGTACAATGCGGCTCTCTTCTGGGACAGCCTCATGGTATACACCCTTATGCAGACCAACCTTTACGCCAATTCGTCTCACCCGGCACTACTTCTGTGCGCCATGGTAGGTCTCATTTGGATCTCAAAACTTGTCAAGACTATTCCGTGGTTTTGGGAGTATCCCATAGACTTCCTACTATACTTCGTTATCCCTGCTTACCCAGCCTTTGCCTACTGGCACTCTCTCTTGAAGGTTTACACTGCCTTCACATTCTGGGACCTCGCATGGTCCGGTCGCAAGCTGGAGTAGACGGCGCGAAGGTGTTACATTCCTTTCCTTTTTTCCTTTTTTTTCATGGGCTTAGACGGCGTATTCAAGACCGATATAAAAAACCTTTTATACTTTCTCAAACTATAGACAGATAAGTATTGATATCATCGTTCTTACATTAAACATGTCCATGAACGAGACCTTGTGAATCTCTTGCCGTGCTGTGACTTTGACCTAGAAGCCATCTTAGGCAGTCAATACAATGCTCAGCTCAAAGGGACAAACGAAGTTTCATTTTAAGGAACTATTTTCATGTATGATCATAAGTTCCATTGTAGATATACAATTTCACCTCAACTGGCAAGAGTACCGCTGTGGTCTGAGATCTTATTCTTCTCAAGAGTGCAGTGGGTACACTACAATTTCGCATCTCTGGAACTCTCGATATCTACTTTTATAATTCTTCTCGATCTTCTGCCCCGTGCCCTTGCATATTTCCCTGCCGTAGCAAACCTTCAAACTAACGCTTGTCGATTTTTCGCAGACGATAGCGGCGATTTCGTTTATACGATCATCCAAGATCACCTTTCTAATATGTTCATGTACGTCGGCTCTGACTTACTGGGCGAAGAGCTCTTCAGAGTGGCGGTGAGAAATATCGACTTAGAGCCGTAGGTGGTTTTGAATATGACGAACCCATCTGTACCGACAATGCTATTGTATGGTACCCTTGCGCTATAAGATCTACCATCTAACAGCACCAGTAATCCAATTATAACCTATATTAATTGTAAACAGGGACCGATTTCTGAATATCCTGGACACTTCCTGGCCGAGATTGTCAATCACAGAACAATGCTCTTAAGCAGCCGATGCCGGTCCGACAAGAAGAGAAACCAGCAGCACTCTGCATAGAGAGATGCACAATAGGCATCATCATATAATGATAACAGTCCAACAAAGTCCATTCTACGGTGCACTCGACTCGTTCGAAATTTACAGAGGATATTAATATTTGCCATTCAGGTACTTTTCAGGCGAAAAATGCTGGGAAATGGGACAAGGAGATTGTGTTGTAGCTTGTATTGTGCCGTGGCACGGTGGGTTTGCATAAAAATGGGCAGGAGGCTAGGCTATCTTTGGTTATAGGGGATCAGATATAAAAGTAAGACGGACGGATAGGAATGGGGGAGCATCCTCTCACTTATGGAACAAGAATTACCAATGAGACTTTGATTGTCTACCTTCCCTATCCTTCTCCTCTTGAATACAATTAGGAGTTCTGCCCTCTTCTATCACTAATACCTATTCATTGCTTCTCCCTTCCCTATTGCCCTTCCCAAGAATGAATGGGTTTACTCTCCCTGTCGGTTCAGTATGATAATTCAGGAATAACGACATGCTAAACGCGTATCTTCATGGGTGGCTTGATAAAAGACAGATCATGGAACTGGAGAGAGTGCGGACTTGACACAGGCTGGCGGATTTGCGTTTCAACATTCCTGGTATAGCAAGGCTGAATGGCTGCAAAAGAATGCAAGTGCAATTTGCTCAAGTTCATTCGCTATCACGTTGCGATACCCTACCGGTAAGTTAGGCCACCCGTCATACTGCGTGGGCATCATGGGCCTCGGGCTCATGCACGTGACCCAGAACTTGACTTCCCCTCAAGGTTGTTGCGATTCAGCACGAACGTGTAGATCGTACATGGCATTTCTCCAGATCTCCTCAAATCAATATTCCTGATGGCCAGGGCCTCAACAGAATCTCCCCTCTCATGGTGGCACGCCAAAGCACCAACTGGACTACCGGTAGTCCTCATTCCAACCCAACCAATGAACGGACCGAAAGCAATGATCAAGCAAGCCTTCTAGTATCCACACCCGCCAATGAAACTCGACGCGCTCTCATATAATAATTGGTAGAGGAAGAAATAGCATGACCTAACGGCCTAACGTTGCTATCTGACTTGCTATACCTGGCAGTTGAGATAAATCCCCTTGGTGGAGTACGTGCCGCAAGGAGATACTTTAGGTCCACGGGCAAATATAGCGGTGCTTCCCCGGGTCAGAATAAGCGCCACTGGGGATGCACCAGTTGTATACGAACATATTATAAAGTACCTCGGTTCCCCTTTGATGCTGGAGGTCGATCATACAATCTCTGCAATCTTCTCAGACATCTTTGCAACATGGTGGCTCTCACATCAGTCTTTCACACGATAGTATTCGCTGCTGTCTGCAGTAATGCCGCGCCACTTGTTGAAAAGAGAGGTTAGTACAACACTGTGTATGCTGTAGTTATAATTTCTCATAAACAGTAGATGTTCAGGCAGATGTATTCGACAGGGCGAAGTTGATGGCACAATATGCTGCAGCTGCATACTGCCCAAGCAACTTTGGCTCCCCTGGCGATCAACTCAACTGCCCTTCGGGAGGGTGTCGCGCGGTTGAAGATGCAGACGCCAGTAGCGTGATCGAGTACAGCCGGTATGTCCTGCTCAGTTGAATAGCTGCCACTCTGAAGCATATTTAACAAGTACTAGATCTGAGACACCCACCGATGTGACGGGATTTGTCGCAGTGGATCATTCCAACAAGCTCATAGTCGTGTCCTTCAGAGGCAGTAGTACCATCGACTCATGGCTGACGAACCTCAACCTCGAAATGACACCCACCGACATCTGCCCTGATTGTTCCGCACATCGAGGCTTCTGGAACTCTTGGACCGATGCACGAGACCGCGTACTTCCCGCAGTGAAGCAAGCCGGGACCACGTACCCCACGTACCAAATCGTCGTGACAGGCCATTCGCTCGGAGCCGCAATCGCGACCTTTGCAGCCGCTCAATTGCGAAACTCAGGTTACACGGTTGCGTTGTACAATTATGGCTCACCCAGAATTGGTGGAACCAAGATCTGCCAGTACATTACTGACCAGCCTGGTGGCAACTATCGCTTCACCCACTGGAATGATCCTGTTCCAAAACTGCCGCTGCTTATCATGGGATACAAGCATATCAGCCCTGAGTATTACATCGAGAAGCGCAATGGAGAGGATGTGCAGCCAAGCGACATCAAGGTATTCCAAGGGTTGGTCAACCTGAGGGGAAATTCAGCTTGGATTGCAGTAGATGTGGAAGCGCATAGGTGGTATTTCGGCAGAATGTACACATGCGATGCGAAGAGATCTTCCCGCGGTTTGCAAATCAGAGATGTGGAGGAGGGTATTGATGTACTAGCAACGTTCTGAGAAATGACTAATATCAAGCATTAACGGTAAACGACCTGAATTGCTGAACGCCAGGGGTATCATCCACATCAAATCATAATCTCAATCTCAACACTCAACAATGTCATTATCCCGCTCCATCTCCTCACCTGTGTGATCACGCCACAGATGCTCCATCAATGCTTCAATCTGCCTACACACGGTGTCCGATTTTCTAAACCTTGCGCAGAGCACACACGCGAATCCGCCACCCTCTCGGTGCGATTTTATCACAAAGCGGTTCTTGACCAAGAAGGTTCGAGATATCATCTTGATATAGCCATCGAACCGCCTGTGACTGTCCACAATAATCTCCCAAGCTTTCCCAGGTCGCGTGGCAATGTATGAGCGGCAGAATGGACACATGCCGTTCCCACCTGGCTTGTAGCTGTTGGCAAGTGGCAGTTCGGGATTGCGCTGAAGATCTCTCGCATATATACAAAAGAGTCTGTTCGGTTGTGGTGCCGGTGGAGGTGGGATGGTGGGCTTTGGCTTTGGCTTTGGTTTTGGCTTTGGCTCTGGGATTGGCAAAATCTTCACCTCATGATCCTCCGAGCCGGAGCTACTACTCATACAGCTGTCTCTTCGTCGCGGTCGATATTCTTGTCCGCCTTGATGAGGCTCGTGAGGAGGATCAGCCGATGTTGGGAAGGCTCCAGGGATGCTTCCATGTCTGCTCGGAGGTCTGGGGGGTAGCAGCCGTTGATATTGTAGATTAAGTGCTTCTATAGAGGCCACACGAGCCGTTCTGGTTGTCTGGATCAGGCGGACTAGATGCGAATGGTTGGATGCAGGTGTTGGGTAAGTGCTCAGGAGGAGATCCTGATGGATGTCGAGGAGCGTCTGTTGGAGTCGTACGATCTGCGACTGCAGCTGTACGTGCACTACCACTAAACATATATTAATCAGCCTCTCAAGCGTAATGTTGCATGTATTTGCACACTTACAGTCACCACGCGCAAAAGGTTCTCCAAGGCGTTGGTAGCCCCGTTCGTATTCGGCTCGAATATGAACCGAGGACTTGTAGATCGACTCCTCTTCGCTGTCTACATATTCATTCTTCCTCAGATTGGCAAGATTCCATCTGACTGACCGACGACGAGGGCGTTCCGTGTCAGAGCTTGACCCCCTGCGTCTTGCTTCCGGTCGGGTCGATCCCGAATCCTCTCCATCTTGGCTTTTGGAATCTGACTTGCGCTTGAGTGTGCGGTAGAGATCTGACGCAGAGCCAAATACGTTTGTTAGGGTTCGTACAAGAGAAGCCACGAGCACTACTTCTTGAAGCACTTCTTTCGCCTGCCAACGTTCAGTCGAGATTTCTCCATGTTCAGAGCTTTTGGTGTGAAGAGATGGGAGTGCTTACCGTTTCCACCGCAGCTTCGGTTTCTTCTTTCAATTTCATTATGAGAGAACGATATTGCTGTTAGTCGTGGAAAAATGTATGTTGGTGACGAGGGACGGTAGCATGCATGCAGAGAATACTTTGCCGTATGTAAATAACTCGGAGAATATTCGAGTCATTAAGCCATTCTACTGATAGACCGTGTGGAGATCACGCTCGCTTTGTTGCTCAGCTGCGAAGCGCATCTGTACTTACGAGTGATTCATGGTCTTACAGATGGAATAGCCACGCATGCGCCTCACTGTGGTGACCTTTCCTGAGTTGCATTCGAATGCGCCATCCTTCTTGGACCTAGGTAGCCTCGCTTCCAAAGAAGCTCCACTCATATGAAAGAATCTCAGTGATTTGCACACAAACGAGTTCTGCCTGTATGTGTTTGTATGAATTTTCAGAGTCGAGGGCGGGGCCATCGATGTAAAGTGAAGTATCATTAGAAGCGAACTTGAGAAGGTCTCAGTGCACGCCACGTGCCCAGATCGTGTGCGAAACCAGCATGCTTGATGTATGGGCACATGCTCAGTACTTCAGCTGCAAAGAGACGTCATGCTCGCAGCTGCAGCAAACTAATGCCAGGAGTTCTCTGGAGTCGCGCATCAAAATGGTATGAGACAAGACAGAAGGAAGCGTAGTCTGGTGCCCAGGTGTTAGTAGTAATGACCTTTCTCGGCCGGCCCCCACGCAAAGCGCCTCCCCCGAATGAAGTTAGTGGGTGGTGGTTATCGTCATGACCAACATCATCGCGGGGCTATCTTCCTCCTTTCCCAATGTACTTTTGCTAGATCTATCCCATTTAGTCGCATCACATTCGGCGCCTAGAGAGAAATTAAATGTGAAGAGCCCCGAAATTTTCAAGCTTCTCGTTGGTTTACAATGATGTGGGACCATGGGCCGGGCGCTTCGCGTTTCATCCTGGCTAACCGATTCGCTGACGTGACAACATGCTGTACTGAAGTCGACAGTAAGCGCGCTCCTATGAAGGACGGCTTTTTGCGCTGAGTTGTGGATTCGCTGTAGCTGCGCCTCATGGATGATGGCCAAAAGAGAAGTGTTCGCTCATCGCGAACTATCAGCCTCATCTGCAGCTCGTTGGGATCGTGTGCATTGCGTAACCTTACTATAACACCAGCTACAATGAGTCTGAGTAAGGTTTCGAGATGGAATCAATTCAGGCGACAGGTCCCGGGATCAACATCTAAAGCGACATCGCATGCGGCCTTACCCAAATCGGACTCATGCCAGAACACAATGGCGTCAGTGAGGAGCTGGCCAGAAGAAGCTCGAGGGGTGAAAGAACACACATGGCTATCGTATGTCTACGGTATCGGTGATGTGTTACTTATTCTCCTACCCATTTACTTCATCTGTAAGTCTACAACTCACTTGAGATTACAAATGCTAACTGACGTAGTGCTCGGTTTCGCTGCGGTAAGTCTGAACGGAAAGCCAACTAAAGACAATACTTTTGGACCCAAAGTAGAGTTTGCCATGGACCTTGTAAGGCACCTATCTGGGGGTTCTTATTCTCGACTAATCTGATAGGGTCCTACTATATTTCCCATTGTCTTCGCCGCTATTAGTGGACGGAGCATGAAAATGATAGCCCGGTACTTGGCGGAAAAGGGGGCGAAATTGAGTGTGAGTCAAGAGCCGAAAGTCTTGAACGATATTGACAACCACTTCAGACTTTAGAGCTCTTAATGGCTAGTCAATCCGTCTGGGGAACTTTCGAAAGTCAGCTTCTTATGCAACGTCTCACGATCGTGGGCGCCAACCTATTGTTTCTCTGGTCCCTTTCTCCACTTGGAGGTCAGGCTTCTCTTCGCTTGATGCAAAGAGGTCAACAGGCTAGTTCTACTCCAATGAGGCTTCGCTATCTCACCACAGGCCCAGCAGGGGCCATGTCCAGTCTTGCTACCGGCAGTACTCAGCGAGGAAAATATGCCGAGGCTGGTGCTTTGTATAACGCTGCACTCTTGGCCCCACAAGCTGTGAAGCTTGGTCCTCAGGATCCTTGGGGGAATGTCAAAATACCTAGCCTAGCTGCTCTCAACACTTCTTCAGCTGATCCCAACGGTTGGCTCGATATCCCATCTCGATTCTCGATTCCGGAGCAATACGCATCTTTAGTCGGCGTGCCAATAGCTGGAATACCACTGGATTCGGAGAACAATTTCACTATAGAGTACAACTATCTTTCAGTGGATTGTAAAGGTTTTGAGCAACAACCTTATCCGGGCTTGCATGGTACAGGCGATCCGACCGCAACCAATTATACGAAACTGGACGAAATGCTCCCCGGGCAGATATGGTATAATAAGTCTCTATATCATCTTCAACCGTTCGATCTTTTAGGTGGTAGAGCATCATTTTTCATTGACACTACTCAAGATCTAGCTCGCATACCAATCGGTAGCGCGAAGGGGATAAATCAGGATGTCTACCTAGGCCGCCTTGATGGCTTCATTGGACACTACAACCAATCTCGACTCAATGCAAGCGAAATAGAGACTCCTAGAGAAGTCCTTTTCGCTTCTGTATACGGTATTAGCAAAGATGGCCTAGACCAGGGTCTCAATATTGCCCGATGCTTACTATTTCAAAACCATGTTGAAGCCTCAATCCACTGCACTGGGAGTCAGTGTGCGACAAAAAAGCTGAGAAAATCTATTACTGATAAGCGGCCAAAAGCATTGACAGCTTTTGAACACATCTCGATTTTTGACGACTTCGCAAGGGAGTTTCCTACAGCTATAAAGTTCAGTGAAGGCTCCAGTCCTACCGAACGTTTCATCGCCAATACTTCCACGTTCCCTTTCGTACAAAAGGCGGGCCGGCTGTATGCGAATGAAGCCTACACAAATCTATCGACAGTTCCGCCGGAGGTTTTCTCACGGCGACTCAGCCTAGTCTTGAACACCTATTTTCAACTCAGTACACAGTCCTCAGGCTACTTCGGTGGCTTGAACAACAACCTGACAGTGTACGGCCCCGATACATTGCCAGCCACAGATGTCAACGTCTATCTGCCAGCCAATCTTTCTGCAACTAATCATACGTTCTTCGAATGGGTCGGCAAATACCAGCGGACTGTCATCGACTCTAATTCACCCTTCCTTGGCGCAACGACAACGGCAAGTACAACAGTCACCAGAGAGATTTTCGTTTGCAACTTCGCGTGGCTTGCTCTTCTCCTTACTTCGTCGTTCGCGATCTTCGTTACCGGCAGTGTCGCTATCTTGCTGAAGCGCAAGACTCTCGGCCCCGAGATGTTCGGCTTCGTGGCAAGCCTGACGTATGAGAACCCATGGGCAAAGATTCCCAAGGGTGGCACAATGTTGGATGCTATGGAGCGAGCCAGGCTGCTTAAAGACGTCGAGTTTCATGTGGGAGACGTTCGTGGAGAAGACAGCATTGGGCATATCGCCTTTGCAGCTGGTGTGCCACTGCGGAAACTGGAGCGAGGCCGTCTTTACTGCTAAGGAGTGCTATCACTTGTGAAGTGACTCAGCATGCAGTAAACTTTGCTTCTGCTTATCCACATCGAGCACCTTCTCCGTGCAACTATCGAAGCCTGCGTAGCACAACCGTGCGCATGGAGAGCCAAGACAAAATTCGCCATGAAAACGTACCACCAACATCGCTGCTAGAATCTCATTGGCAAGCTGGATGCCGTAGCTATGAAACATCTGTGCAGCTCACATCGATTCCAGTAACCTGATATCGACATATCTCCAGTTATGTGCTGCTGGCTAAGTTCCTCGGGATGCCTAACCGACGTTGATCAGTTGCAGCCAATCCCATTTCATGTCGACATGGAAATGTAACGGCCTTGTTGGATATCAAGCTTTTGAGCAGCCGCGGTGGCTGCAAAGAGTGGATCAGAAGTTCGAATGGTCGTAGAGAGAAGAAAGTTGCGAGGCTCACCAATGGGCCACTGGACACAAGGGTAGTCAAATCGGATCTGCAACGCCGCCTAAAACACAGGGGTCCCGATGTTGGCATGGCCGACTAAGCGACCTCACCCCAACCAATCACCACCTGTATGCGATTGCGAAACGAAACTTCTCCTTAGGCCAGCAGCAGAAGCGTGGCAATCTTCAACTCGACGGGAGCCTTTGTTATCTCACGAAGGCGTTGACGCATAACCTCCCTACATTTAGCGTGCGGCCCTACTTCGTTCCTTTGGCTGAGAGCTGTAGCGTACCTGGACCGCCAGTTTCATCGCATAGACGCTCACCATGCAATTCTCCACAGTATCGACATTCGTTGTTTGGCGATGTGCTGTGGCCTTCCAGTCTGGTCCCTTGGTTGGGAGATGATCAGTGGCTATGTGGTGGACTGCGAGGGGATGGTTCCGGCAGCATTGCTGATATAAAGGGCTGCTACCATGCCGCACACAGAGTCAGTATTACAACACACTCTCTACAACCAGAGCGCTCTTTGCAGTTGCATTTCTCACTTTCTACACTAGCTGGGCTAGGATTTGTTGTTTCTCTTCATTTCAACTACATTCTTTGACTGGCCAGTCTACAATTACAGTATCGTCATTCGAAAAGTCTCCCACTGTCTTTCTTCAAATCAAATCATCTCCTCGAGACATTTTACTATGTCTTTCAAGTCCACAATTATAGCTGCAGCTGCTCTTCTTGCATCTGTCAATGCCCACATAAAAATCACGCAGCCGGTGCCTTTCAGCGTCGCAACGCTGGATACAGCTCCAATCACTAAATCACAATACCCTTGCAAGAGCAACTTGGGCTTCACAGTCTCTACCATAAACTCCATGAAAGTCGGAGAACCACAGACTATTAAGTTTTCCGGGACAGCGGTCCACGGCGGTGGCTCTTGCCAACTTTCCGTGACTACTGATCCAGAACCAACTGAGAATTCGATCTTCAAGGTCATCAAGTCGATCGAAGGTGGCTGCCCAGGCGTGGACGGTACAACCAACGAATACGAGTTCACCCTTCCTGACAGCATCCCCAACGGAAAAGCTACTTTTTCATGGACCTGGCTACCCAAGCTGAGTGGTGGACCAGAGATGTACATGAATTGTGCGGCCATCGAGGTGACCGGTGGCGCCAGCGACGACTCTGCATTCAAACAGCTGCCGGATATGCTCAAGGCGAACCTCGATCAGACCTGCAAATCCGAGGCAAACTTCGCTGTGAGTTACCCCAGCCCTGGAACAGCTGTACAAAAGGGTTCAACAAACGATGCGAAGCCCCCTGTCGGCGAAGCCTGTGGCCTTTCATCGGGCACTGATCCCGCCGAGCCCTCTGGCTCTGCTGGAGTCGAGCCTCCCGCTGTACCTACATCACCACCATCTGGCCAAAATCCCCCCACAGATACACCCACCACACCTTCCACACCCTCTTCCCCCTCCGAAGGTGGCAGCTCAGACACCTGCACCACCAACGGCGCCATCATATGCAACGGCACGACGAAATTCGGCCTCTGCAACGCTGGAAAAGTGGTCTGGCAGGATGTTGCTGCGGGCACGACATGTACCAACGGCGTCATTGCGAAGCGTGGATATAACGGTCGTATTGCCCGACCACGTTTGAGCAGCCCTGTGGACGTTTAGACGGGTTTCGGATTTGGATACCGTGTGTACACTTATTTTTAGGTGTGACACGTTTGCTTGAAGCATGAGGTCTGTGACTGAATGTGCTGTATATTCCTATAATTATATTTTTTTCCTATGTCGTTTTGGTATTGCTGGAGTTTTGGAGGTTGGAGCATGGTATACATGTGGGATATGGCGCATTGAAGAGCTTGGAACTTGGGGGGGAAAGGAATGTAGCAGCTACATTGGCAGTATGTCTGTTGAATTAGCTTGGGGTTGATTGTTGTTTCTCTCTAATGAGAGAAGAAGCGACCTGGTGGTATAGCTGGGTAAATCAGATAAATCAGATACACTACATCCATACATACATACATGTCTCAGGCGGCATGCAAAGCCCCTCCCCTCTGCTCGCAATTCATGCGTTGGAATTATTGAGCAGTTGTTGATGTGGCGAGTATGTGGTGCACAGAATACAAAGTACACGCCGTGATCGGACGTAAGGTATTGAGAACGCGGGAGGGGAAAATATGGCAGGGCGCGGAGGTGGGTGAGAGGTGTGAGATCCTGGGGGTTTTGCGGGTTTGCGTGTGGAGATGTGTATGATGTGGGGATGTTCTAGGTGGTTTGGTTGATGTGGAGTTGGGGGTTGTTGCTTTTCGTGTGTGTTGACATGGATTGAGAGGGGGATTCGGATGCTTGTTGGAAGGTTGTCGGTGTGATCATGTGCGTTATGTTTGCGGCAGAATTTGATGCGAGGGCTTTCCATCTTTGCAGTGTGTCGGTATGTGGTTGTTGGCCAGGGTGGGCGCGTGAATTGGACATGGGCATCCTACGATACCGTATTTCCTTTGAGCGGATATAGAGTATGATGCGTTGCCCCTCGCACACGCTGGAATTTTCTTTTTGAAATATTCTCGTCTGCTTTCGGAAAAGAGGTTCAGTTTCCATGAGCTGGGAGTTCGACGGGTTTTGGTTGACTGGCTGCTAATTCGCTGGCGGCAATGTCTCTGATCGAGATGTTAACAAGCGTTTAATACAGATTGCTAGGAAAGAACTGCTCACCCTTGTACTTCTGTATCTGTATAGTGTGCATACTTGGTCTGCGGCTCATCGTGCTCGTGAGTTGCTTCCTGGGGACCCTCAGACATTACAGAGGCATAGCGCTTCTTGCGCCTCCATAGGTAAAAAGATCCAAACATGAGAGCGGCCAATACTGGTATGCCCACTCCTAGTCCCGCACCCAGCGCTATAGTGTTGATAGGTTTTGATGCGGAATCAGCTGTTGTGATGGCTGTGGATGTTGGTGTTGCGGATCCTGAATTTACGAGCGTGTTCGGTAGAGACGTTTCTGTGATGGCAGATGCGCTGCTTATTGCAACGGTTGCAGAAGATGAAGCTTGAGATGTTGTTGATACGTGTGTTTGGGTGAATGATTCGCCGATGATTGTCAGTGTGTAGACATCGGATGGTGCAGCACTGAAGGAAAAGACCTCAAAGGGTGAGGCGCATTCGCAGTCATCGTAGCAGCAGTAAGAGTCGATGTTTGTGATATTGCAACTATACACTGGGACGCCGTTGTTTTTGATGTCTAGCCAGCGGTCAGTAGGGAGTCGCACTTCCTTTGCTGTCATCCAGTACCCAAGCACTGTCGTGGACAGTTCCCGCTCTTCCAAGCTTCATCTGTACACGTCCCTCGATGGAGTCTCGCTTTTTCTGGATCATGAGGATCTGATACGCAAAGGCCATTGGAGAGACAGGCCTGGTTGTCGTAACAACAGGCTGATTCTATTGCATTAGGATTACAAGCTGTGTCGGAATCAACGATGGCGCCATTAGGGAAGTAGCACGTCGCAATGACAGGAGACAGAAATGCAAGGATCGCTACAAGATTCAACATCGCGTACGAAGAAAGGAAATTAGCAAAAGAAGGATGCCAGATGCGAGATGGTGGGGGCCAAGGCAATTGAACAGGTTGAGGGAATGCGAATGACGGGCTAGGACGACTTTAAGTGTAGGAGTAGGATTGCCAGGATATCTGCAAACCATTCCAGATTGATTATAGGGCATTCTACTGGGACCATAATTAGAGAAACTGTTGATTGTGATTTGTTTTCAGGCCCCCCAGTATCCACACAGTCGATCATTGAATCGAATAATTCAGGATTGGTTTGGCAGCTCCAGTATCGTGAGCATATTTAAAAAAAAAGGTATTTGCATTGAGCAGTATGTCTGAAAGTAGTCGCCGACCTAGGGGAGTTTGTGAAGCCATGTTCACCGCGCAAATGGCATATGTGGCGGGCTTTTGTGGGGGGTGTTGGCACAGTACAATTGGAGACTCTCGAGAGCTGTACTAGGTAACTACTTTGTTCGAAGAGGGCCAAGCTTTCACGGCGACAGGGACAGGGATCATGACTAGCGTGACGCGTTGTTGGAAGCTACCCGTCGCGTAACTAACGGCAAGGCCTGCGGGGAAAGAAGTTCTGGCTACGTGCCTTTGGATACCTATTCTCCATTCAAGCAGTACTGTTGTACACTTGTTGTCGTCTTTCACGTACTGTTCACGTCTAGATTGTTCGCTGCCGTGCCCCTCGCATGGTATTGTCCCAGCCCGTGCTGAAATGCGCAAGGCAGCCGTCTAGGGCTTGCCAGCGTTGGGGGACCCACCGATATGAGAGTGAAGGTGAATCGCAGTCTGTGTTTCTCCTTCACTTCACTTCTTTACAAACGATAGCCTGCATCAGTCTACTTGCCCTGGAAAGCACAGCTTGATCTCGAAGTTGCGTATCCTCGCTGATAGCCTCGCCACTTCCTTCCTCACCAACACTGCAACCATCAATCTCATACTTTTCACACCTATTCTTCAACCGCGCAACCAAAGATTCCCACCAAACTCGTAACAGCTCTGGAGTCCTTGGTCGACATGGTGAAGAAGAGGACCTACTCCAAGTATGGCAACAGTCAACGGTCGACACCATACGATCCTAATTGGGTCAACGACCACGATAATCCCAAGCGGGCCAAAGTTGAGGCCTCGGAAGAAATGCGCTTACCTAAAGCTATCAATGAGATGAAGTCATCTTTATTGAAGAAAGGCTCAAAATTTGGTGGCCCAACATCGCTGCCCAACGACCCAATGGATGTGGAAGAAGAAACCGTGGTCTCGAAGAAGACATCCGTCTTTGATAAAGTCCTTAACAGCGGCCGTCATCAACTCGCCAGGAAAGGTCAGGTCGAGTCTCAGAGCAGCCGCAGGGATTCGCCAAAGAGAACCCCCACACAACAAAAGTCCAATGAGTTGCGGACATACCAACTGCCAACGCCGCCTGCAGAAATTCAAAAACTACAAGCTCAGCAAGTGGCACGGGAACCACAGACCCTGTCTCAGGTTGCTCAAAATACTGACATGGTCATGCCAAAGCAGCCTTATGTCCCAAAGATCTACAAGGCAGAGGAGACCTCGGCCCCACGTACAACCGTTTTAGGAGATCGACTATCCAGGTCATCTAAAGAGTCGGCGCTGTGGAACACAAACCAGACCAACTCACCCTTGCTACAACTTCCAGAAGACATTCGCACCAAGATATTCGAGTATGTTCTCGGTGGCAAGACCATCAAAATCGACTACGAAACCTACCGGACTCGACGCACGCAGGGCCAGCCAAAGGCCAGCGTGCCCATTTTCAAGTACGACTGCACCATCTATAACCGACGCACAAACCCTTTTAAACTACAGCCTTCACCTCTGGACACAGTCACCACGCGCTACTCACCCCTCAACAACATCTGCCGACAGTTGTATGAGGAGACTGCGACTCTTCCTTACAAGCTCAATGTGATTGCTTTCGCCTCGGCGAGTGTCATGTTCAACTTCCTGTACCAGGAGCGGCGTCTTTCACGAAAGCAGCGCGATGCCATCACACACCTTGTTCTGCCGGATGGTCTGCTGCAGCAAAACATGCTGAATGATCTTCGTGGTCTGCAGAAGTTCGCGCTGGGGCGTACGGTTCGTGAGAATGCTAAGGGCTGGTATACGATCCTTCGGGAGGAGGGACACGCACCCAAGCTGGTACTGTCGAGCTCTATGCGTTGGTGAATGTTGACACTGAGCTCACCAAGAGCTTCGGTTAGCTCGCATGGAACACGATGGGATGTTGGGTTCAGCATAGCGCAATGGCGTTTGGGAATCTGGAGAGGCTATCATTGGAGTTGAAGGCGTCGGGAGGCTAATGACTATTATATCATGCCCATTATGCAACAAGGGTGCCATAGCCTGGTTTTCTAGTTCCTATTTTCCGTCTCATATGGAGCTATTGTTACGCATAGCCATCGAGCACACGATAGCGTTTCTGATGCAGTGTTGCATTTCTAGAAATCAAGATCATCCACATGATTCGTGTCTAGCCTGTGCATTATTGTGTCCACATCCTCTATTACAAATACATGCTCTCCACCTCACCGGATTTTCACGCTCCCAAGGATGGAATATAATTCGACAACACATATCCTGAAAACACGTACCATGGTACACCTCAGCCAACGACCCCAACACCCCAACCAAGCCCCGAATTTCCTTCCCAAGATGCCTCAAGACCCATCACATGGTTTATATATAACCCATCCACCCATCCTGCCCTCCCACATCTCCCAATCCACAGCCAATATCTCAACCACCCTCCCACCCTACCATTTCCGAAGGAAAGAAACAACCATCAGCATGTCAACCCTCAGCCACTTCGTCTCTTCTCTCTTGCTTGACATCGCAACCTACATCGTCGTCGTCATATTCGCCGTCGGCCCACTGCTCATCTACCAGGAGACGAATATCTGGTGTGTCATCATGAGTGGATGGGCTGCCGTGTTTGGTGTGTGGGCGTGTGTGTGCGAGTAAGGTGGTGAGTGATATTTGCTTCATGTATTGTGGAGGTGATGCGAGGGTGAAGTTAATACGTGCTTGATTGCGGTGGCTGTTGTTTAGTGCTGTGGTTCTGTTACATGTACCGAGGGCGCTGGGATTATTTTTTCCGGTGTCGTCGGCTTTCTCGTACGATGAAGAGACACACGACAATTGTTCTTCGATTTGAAAACGCCGTCTTATCCTACCCTCGACCAAACGCCGTTGAACCCCGAAAATATTCACCATGGTGTCGCGGAACAAAGTCGAAAGACACAGGCCAGGCAGGACTGGTTCATCCACCTTACCGGTATCGATAACATCCCGTCCCAGCCCTCGCCACGCCCGCATCCCTGCATCGAATTTCCCCCGGCAAATCAGGCAAAGTCCAAGTCCAAATCGACACACTCGCGCCGCCCCCCCAGAAAACCGCCTCGACGCGCTCCAAACCAAGTCTTCCACGCCATTGCGAGATTTGCGCGCCCTCGATCTTCTCCCCGCGACACAGCCCACCACCCAATTGACGAGGACTCCGCCGCGCAATGCCATCCACCACGCCCGAACCGACCCCGAAGAAGCGCGGTCGGCCTAGGAAAGTTGTTGCCGAGGATGCGGGGCCTGGTGAGGCTGGGATAAAGGGAAAGGGGAAGGCGGGGATGGAGAAAGGGGGAAAGGAGAAGAAGGCGACGACGACGAAGCTTGCGGCGACCAAGACCGCAGCCGCTGCCACGCCTCCTACTGCTCCCTCCACGCCCACGGCGTCGACGAAGAAAACCAAAGCGCCAACAACACAAAGCACAACCAAGCCCGGACCAAGGACGAGTACAATCGCAGACGCAGTAAGCGCAAAAGCCAGATTCAACCCACAATCCACCACAAACACACCACAAACACAAACACAAACACAAACCACACCCACCGCCCGGCCCTTCCCCCCGAAAAACCCCCTCCACACAACCATCCCCACCTAGAACTAGAGAGTAGGTAGGTACCCGTTGTGATGCCCTGGTCCAGATTTATTCGGAAGTAGAGAATACAAAGGGGTTTGAAAATTCCTCAAGTTAAAATGGTTGTCCTTGACGCC